GCCTCATGCTGTTGGTCTCCTGTAAGGAAAGGAATAATCAGTTGTTAATGGGTGATTATACAGGGACCTTCACATCCTGCAAAATATGCCTTAGATAATCATATCCTCCAACTTAATCCTTCCCCAGGAATGTGAATAGTGGGTGGGGAGAGATAAATATATATCATGCTCTTGTTCCCCTCCCAACCCTTAAGTCACATTAATGCCTCATCTTCCATTTCAGTCTATTGGGTGGTGGCACCAACATCTAGCCATGTAATCTCTCCCACAGCGTGCTACCTGAGTCACAACTCCATGTCCCCTTTTTAAAATTTTTTGAGATGGAGTCTTGACAAATTGCCCAGGCTGGCCTCAAACATACAAAATGTTCTCGCCTCACCCTCCCAAATAGCGGAGATTACAGGCTGAACCATTGCACCTGCAGCAAGATACTCCCTAGCTACTGTCTCATGTACAGTAGCTCTCAAAATCTACACTTACTAGTTATAAAATTATTAAATATTTTGTATTTTTATACTATTTTTACGGGTGCTGAGGGTTGAACCCAGGGCCTTCACAAGCTAAGCATATGCTCTACCACCGAACTACATATTCCAGCACCTCCTTTTCCTTTTGTAAGTGAGTTGTGATCATAAGATGATCTCATAATCATTTAATGGATCACAACTCATTTGAAAAATACTAGTAAAGAGCTACGGACAAGAATTTTTTCTTTTTGCAATGCTGGGCGTCAATCACAGGCCTATGCAGGTCAGACAAGCCCTCTACCACCAGCCCAAATTCATACTTTTTTCCCTTTGAGGCAGGATATCAGTATATTGCCCTGGCTAGCCATGAACCCTTGGATTCAAGTGGTCCTCCTGCCTCAGTCTCCCAAGTAGCTGGGACTACATATGCCTGCCATCATGCATGGTTATTGTTAATTTTTGGTACTGAGAATTGAACCCAGAGGTGCTAAACCACTGAGCCACATCCCCAGCCCATTTTATATATTTTATTTAGAAACAGGGTTTTGCTGAGTTGCTTAGGGCTTCGCTAAGTTGCTAAGGCTGGTTTTGAACTCACAATCCTTCTGCCTTAGCCTCCTGAGCTACTGGGATTGGGCATATGCCACCACGCCTGGCTCTGTTATTTTGTATTTTTAAACACAATATAAAAACTTCATTCAAGCCAGGCACAATGGCATATACCTATAATCCCAGCAACTCAGGAGACTGAGGCAGGAGGATCACAAGTTCAAGGGCAGCTGAGCAACTTTAAGACCTTGTCTCAAAATAAAAAATAAAAAGGGCTGGAAATATAGCTCATTGGTACAGTACCCCTGGACTCAATCCCCAGTACCAATAAAAGGTTCACATGATGAACAAAGAGATGTAAGCACTAGGCATCCAGAAGAGCCACATTGCAAAAAGACACTCTGTCTCCCAGTGGAAGAACACAACACAACCGAGGAAGCAGGAGTGCAAAAGCATCAAATTTGAACATCCTAGCCTCTGAATCCAGTTACCAACTTACAAAAATACAAAGGAGAAGTGGACGTGTTAAACTATACCACCAGGTACATGCCCGTTCCTAGTATACAGGGAGCCATGAGCTCAATCCCTAGCAACACACACACACATACACACACACACCAGCAACCACTGTGCTAAACCATACTACAAGAAAACAATCAGCAAAATCTAGTATTGGGGGCCAGAAGAAGTGAAATCTTTTATTTAAAAGTATTAAAAGACAAATTAACCTATCACAATAAATGCTATTTAGATCCTGGTTTAAAAAAATTAAGCCATTTATAACCAATGGAAATTTGAACCTGATTTGACATTGATGATATTAAGGATTATTTCTTCTTGTTGTTGTATAATAGCTTTGTAGCTGTTTTTAAAAGAGCCCTTATTTTTATAGGTACACCTGAAATATTTACAGATGAAATAATATGATCCCTTTGCCTTGCTCTAAAATAATATGGGAAGACAATGACAAATGCTTCCAACAATGTAGAGAAAGGGGACCCTCATAAATCGCTGGTAGAAGCAAACTGATAGACTAGCTTAATATTTACCAGTGATACCAAGCACCTGGTGTTTTAACTCTAGAAATGTAGAAACAGTGCTAAACTGGCTAGCAGTGTGTCCTACTACTAGCTTTAGGAAACAGTTTGGCCGTTGCTCAAAAAGCATAAATCTATCATATGACCCAACAATTCTACTCCACTCCAGGGTATCATCTAAGAGAAATGAAAATATACAGCCCCTGAAGATTTGCATGAGTGTTTGTAGCAGCATTAATCATAACCGCCAAAAAGTGGAAACAACCCAGATGCCATCAATTGGCAAGTGCTAAGCAACAGGTGATTTACCTGTACAAAGGAATTACATTCAATAAACAGAAACAAATTATGGTACACGGTACACCATGGATGAACCTCAAACATCTAAGTAAGAAGTCCAGAAGAAAAGACCACTTACTGTGATTCCATTTTTATGAAATACCCATAAAAGGCAAATTATATAGAGAGCTACAAAGAAGATTAGTGGTTGCCTGGAGCTGCCAACGTGAGAATGGGAATCAACTGCTAACCAGCACAAGGGATCGTCTTTTTTTTTTTGGTACCGGGTATTGAACTCAGGGGCACTCGACCTATATTTTATTTGGAGACAAGATCTCACTGAGTTGCTTAGCGCCTTAAAGTTGCTTTGAACTTGAAATTCTTCTCAGCCTCCAAAGCCATTGGGATTACAGGTGTGCACCACCGCACCTGGCAGCACCAGGGATCTTCTGGAGAGGTCTGGGGCTGGACAGTGGTTGACAGCTGGACAAGTTGGTAAATTTAATAACAATCACTGAATTATACACTTAAAATAGGTGACTTTTATAGTATCTAAGTTACACCTCAATAAAGTTGATTATTTATTTAACAGGGAGAGCATGAATGCAGTCCCTGAATATGACAAATCATATAATCAAGTTTCCCACACTTGGGGAAATCGTAGGGGTCAGAACACCCAGAGTCCAGTGGATGAGCCTCCCCTGAGAGAACCACTTTCATAATCATGGTATCTCCCCTGACGCATAAGTATAATAAAGTTGTTTTCAAAAGTAAGAAATACAGAAAAGTCTTAAGAGAAGGAATGTCAGCAGACTGAGAAAACCAGAAGAATGTTGGAAAATAAAGACTGAATTACAAAAGAAAAGATTCCTTTTTAATTAAAAACAAAATGGGAACAGGGAAATACACATGGGGGGGGCTGCACAACAATGATGATGGTGGCACATGCCTACAATCCTAGCAACTAAGGAGGCTGGGAGAGGAGGATAGCAGTTTGAGGCTAGCCTGGGCAACTTAATGAGACCTGGTCTCACTACAAAAATTAAAAAGGCTTGGAGGTGTAGCTCAGTGGCAGAGCATCCCTGGGCTCTATGCAGTACTGCAAAGGGAAGGAATATCTGCATTAGCCACTGGTTGATGGTTATTGAGGCTGGGTGACAGGTACATGGAAGCTGATTACACAACTCTGCCCATGCTGGAGTACTTGAGATTCTCCGTGATAAGAAGGTTTTTTTGTTTGTTTGTTTGTAAAGATCAATGCATATTCCTGATATTCAGTAACCTCTTCAGGCTATTCTTGTCAGTCCAGGTCCCAGTGGGATTCCTATTTCAATTTCAAACAAAACAAGACAATCTAATACTCTTCCAAAAAGTTCTCTTCAGGTGATTTTCATTTCCTTGGACAAGAAATTAGAATGTTTACGAGAAAATTCAAAATTCCAGTACTGATTACAGAATGAGCACAATACTATTTTTGAAACATGTTACAAAGATAAAACCATTAAATAATTTAGCATTACAGGGATAAATCAATCACCAGAATTAAGCCAATTCAGTTTGCTTCTACCGATTTACAGGAATACTTTCCTATATCAATGAGGCCAGGCACCTGGTGTTTTAAATCCAGAGATGTAGAAAGAAGAGCACTGGACTGGGAGCTAGAAGGTGAGGTCCCAGTGTGTCCTACTGCTAGTTTTGCCTCCAACTTATAAACTGTATGAACTCAACGACACTACTTCATCTAAGACCAGATATCGTCCACTAAGAGAGAATTTTAAAGACAGGGTGTTCTGAACCTGGAGTGGGAAACCTGGGACAGGATTATGAAGCCTCAGACAGCCCACCAAAGTTTTGTCCAGATTTCAACGTGCACTTCTCCGCTCTCTGCAGATTCTCAAAGGGAACTAAGATCCACCATCCTTCTGAGGTTAAAAACCATTTTATTCAAGGCAATTTTTATGGATCTGGCCAAGCTTTCAAATCTGAAATCTGGATTCTTTAAACTGCCTGCATTCCCAAAATACAGCGTCACGGTTACAAGACGAACTTGGTGCAACCCACAAACTTCTTAGAAAACTGTACACTGGCTTCGGGTCATAACGATGCTCTTTCCTATTCCCCAGATGTATTAATTAACCTGTGGAACCACCGGGTCGTTGCGTGTCCGCCTTGGAGGACTTTCACCGGTGCCTTCCAAGGCCAGAGCCCAGGCCCATCATGAAGCTGGCTGACGGGAGCTGGGAAGAGGCGCCAGGCCCCCTACTTGGAGGATTCCTGAGTAAGTAGTTCGAACGAGGAGTGACATTCCTCCGGAGAAGCTCGCTGCGGTCGCTCGGCGCCGTGCGCGCCCCGAACCTAACCGGTACACCGGGGCTGGTTCCGCGCGGCTCCGGCCCGCAGGCACCGGGGCGCGGAGGCGGAGCCGGCGGAGCAGGGACGAGGTAAAGCGGGTGAGGAGAGCGGCCGGCCGGCTGCGAGGACAGAGCCGGGACCCGGCGGGCGCGGCGGAGCGGCCCGGCCCCACCGACGCTGCGAAGCCCGCCGGCCCGACGGCCCGCAGCCCCCCGCCCTCCCGGGGCCGGGCCGGAGCCGGTGCCCCGCGCTCAGAGGCCGCGGGCCCGAGCTGCCCGGCCCGGGAGTGGCCCCGGCCCTCCCGGCCCGCCCTTACTTTGAGTGCCAGGTGGTGGACGCGGCCCAGGCCGTGCCCGGCCAGCAGCTGCAGCAGCCCCAGGACCGGGAGCAGCCGGAGGCCCGCGGCCAGCCGAAGACGGCGGGAGCCCGAGGGGCCAAGGGGCCGAGGGGCGGCCATGTTGGTTCCAGCATCACCAGCTGTTTCCTCTCCCGCCCACTTCCGGGGTCAAAGGGCGACGGCCACCGGAAGGGCCCGGGGAGGGGCTGGGCGGCGGGAATCCCACGGGCCCGGGAGTTGTCTCGCTCAAGGGCCGCCCGCCGGGTCACCCAACAGCCTCCCCGGCGCGGACCTTGTGGTCAGCCGGCGGAGGCCAGGCCGCCGGGGACGCCGCGGTTGTTGCCATGGCGACGGCGGCCTCCGGGGGCGACCGACGCCTCGCGGGTCTCCGAAGCGGCCCGGGCGGGGAGGCGGCGGCTCTGACTGCACCGGCGTCCGGGGTGGGGAGCGTGGGGAAGCCCTGAGTGGCTGGGTCCCTTGGGTGCCTCTCGGGCCCTTCCCACGGAATCTCTGCAGAAGTGGGTGCAGCAGGGGGGCGTGCTGGGACCCCTGCAGCAGCTCACTCCCTGGGACGAGCTGGTGAGACGGGAGGTAGGTGTTTTCCTCGCCCCGCTCCACAAGCGCGCCAACCTGGGCTCTAGAAATGCAGCCTTTGTTCCCGCTGGAGCCGGGGATCACTGGAAGCTCTGAGAACCGGGGCCGGGAGCGCGCACTGCAGCCGAACCTGCTGCGGCGTCCGTCGGAGATGAAGGGGTCGAGAAAACGTGGTGTCCACACACAGCGGAGTTGCATTCAGCCATAAAGAAGAACGAAATTATATCATTTACAGAAAAATGGATGGAAGTAGACATCATTGTGTTTAGCAAAATAAGCCAAACCCAGAAGGTCGAGTCGTTTGTTTTCTCTTATGTGGAAGCTGCAGAGGAAAGGGGGAAAGAAAGGTCGGGGGCGGGGCAGCGATCTCCAGAAAATCAGAGGGCCATGGGTCAGTAGTGGAAAGGGCCCAGGGTGTGGGAGGAGGGCAGGGAGCGGGGAAGTGCTGGGGAGGGATGTTGGCCAAATTATCTTGCTATATTGTGTGCATGTCGAGTGTGTAACAACAAATCCCATCGTTATGTACAATTATAATGCACCAATAAAAAAATGTGGGGGGAAAAAAAGAATTGGGGCTGGGAGCATACTTCAGTGGTAGAGCCCTTGCCAAGTGTGCCCCAGGCCCTGAGTTCCATTCCCAGTCCCTACACAAAGAAACAAAAACAAAAAAGAAACCAGCCCTGTGTTGAATTTCTTTTGGCCATTTCAACCCACCAGAGAAGTCTCCGTTTTTTTCTCTTATTCTGTTTGGACACCGTCCTGGTCATTGGAACTTATCAGGACCTCCTTAATGGAAGGGTTGGGCAGTAGACCCCTTCACTCACCTTTCTTTATCAAGGAGTTATAGAAGAACATGGCTTGTTAGCTTTGCCTCCTGAGTAGCCAGGTTTGTTTAGTTTTTAGAGTCTTGTTTTTAGCTTGCCACACAAGTAATATATGCTTTGTGTGTGTGTGTGTGTGTAACCATTTAAGTAGAAGAGGAAAAAATAAACCACCAAGAATCCCAATAACAAGTGACTACCAGTGTACTAGCGTTTTTTTGTTTGTTTTTTGAGGTACTGGGGCTCATGCATGCTAGATAAGCACTCTACCACTAAGCTGTACCTTAGCCCTTTAAAGAAAAAGCTTTTTACAAAATATTTATTTATTTTTTTTATGTGGTGCCGAGGATCGAACCCAATGCCTCATGCATGCGAGGCAAGCGCTCTACCACTGAGCTACAACCCCAGCAAAAAGTTTGTTGTGGGACAGGATCTTCCCAAATTCCCAGCTGGCCTTGCACTTGCCATCCTCCTGCCTCAGGCTCCAGAGTTGCTGGGATCACAGGTGTGGGCCATCTCATCCAGCTAGTTTTGTGCCATCTTGGTCCTGAATCTGAATTTTTCCCTTAACTCAAACACCAGTAGGAAGAGTCCTGTCACACTCTTTGCAAAGACAAAAGTGGGAAGCTGAGCTGGAGCCAAGAAGATTGCAGTTTATCCTAAAATGTCTTGGTTGGTCACCATAGGAAAGGCAATGATTGCTAGTGGGCAGAGAATTCCCTTTCTTGCTGGGTACAGTGGCTCACTCCTATAATCCCAGTGAGTTGGGAGCTGAAACAGGAGGATGGAGAGTTCAAACCCAGCCTCATCAACTTAGGCCCTAAGCAACTCAGCAAGACCCTTTCTCTAATAAAACATATTTTTTAAAAAAAGCTGTGGCTTGGTGGTTAAGTGCCCCTGGGTTAAATCCCTGGTACAAAAAAAAAGTAATAATAATATAATGTATATATTCCCTTTCTCCCCCAACCTCTGATCTTTGGCCATCTATTTTGAATGTCAGTAATGTGTGAACAGAATGAGAATAAGAAACTCTAGAATTATTATATTTATGACTCCACACATTATCTTACTTAGCATCACAAAAACCTTATAAAGGTTTGGTTTGGGTTTGTTTTGATACTGGGGACTAAACCAAGGGGCACTTAATCACCCTTTTTAATTTTGAGACAGGGTTTTGCTAAGATGCTTAATTAAGGCCTCACCTAGCTGCTGAGACAAGTTTTGAACTTGTGATCCTGTTGCCTCAGCCTCCAAGTTACTGGGATTACAAGCATGTGCCACCACACTTGGATTAGGTATATATTTTAATTCCCTTGTGTTTTCTGATGGGGCTTGGATGGGTTGATTAATCTGTTCAGGGACTCTACTCATTTATGAATGACCCAACTGGAACTCTTCCTCCAGGCCCTGTGTACAAAGCCTAGCACATAATCTCTGTCCTGCATTGTTGTAAAGAAAAGGTGTTTGCATACTATAGTAGGCTGGAAGGGTCCTTAGCTAAGGTAGATGAAGATCCATCTACCTTATTTAATAGATGTGAAAACAATTCCAGGGAACTTAAATGACTTGCTCATGATCAGACAACCAGGGGCTAGGGATTTAGTTCAGTGGCAGAGGGCTTGCCTAGCATGTGCATTCCCCTGAGTTCAGTCCTCAGTCCTGGGGGAAAAAAGCAAGGAAGATCAGACAATGAGTTGAGTGATTTTTAAGAAGCTGGAGATGGGCTCAGTGGTACACACTTGTAATTCCATAACTAGGGAGGCTGAGGAAGGAGGGTCTTAAGTCTGAGGCCTCAGCAATTTAGTAAGACCCTGCCTCAAAGTAAAAAAGGCTGGGGTTGTAACGGCTCAGTGGTTAAATGCCTTGGGGTTCAATTTTCAGTAACCCACCCCCCACCCCAAAACAAACAAAAACCCCCAACTACCACCTCTACCAACAAGACAAAAAAAAAAAAAAAACAACAACAAAACAGGACTGGAATCTCAGCTGCTTTAGAATTGGCTCTGGGTTTCTTGCACTTTATCACACGTTGCTTTCTCAGAATTTTACTTTTTAAAAAAGGGAAAGCCCAGAGTCTGACTCCGGTATGTTATGAAATGTAATGCTAAAGAAGCTTTCAAAAAGCATTTTTAAAAGCAGCTGCTGGGAGTGTAGCCCAGTGGTACAGCACATGCTTAGCATGTGACAGGTCTTGGGTTCAAGTCCCAGCACCAAAATATTTAAAAATCAGCAATATGAAAGAACACAATAAGAGTGTAAAATAAGTGACATTTCTTTTAGGTAGCAAGAAGACATTAAAGTCAGGTGATTCTCACTTCTGTTTGAAACTACCCTTAAAGGCAAAGGTGATTTCTAAGTATAGTTATTTTTCTGTATTCTGAGATTTGAGCCTCCTAGGCAGGAGCTCTACCATTGGCCAGAGGCAGTGGCACATGGCTGTAATCCCAACATCTTGGGAGGCTGGGACAGGAGGATCAAGAGCTCAAAAGCCAACCTCAGCAACTCAGCAGGACCCTGTCTCCAAATAAAATATAAAAAATGTCTGGGGATGTGAATCAGTGGTTAAGTGCCAGTGCTGCTGGGTTTAATTTCTGGTACCAAATAAATAAACAAAAACCCTATCACTGAGCCTCAGGCCGCCATACTTTTAAAGTTAGGCACCTCCTGACACAGTGGCACACACTTGTAATACCAGTGACTTTGAGAGACTGGTGTAAGAGGATGGCAAGTTAAAGGCATGTGTTGGCAACTAAGTGACGCCCTCTCAAAATAAAACAGAGCTGGACATCTAGTTTAAAAGTAGCGCATCTTGGGTTAAATCCCAAGTGCCACAAAATAAATAAATAATCTAATTAGGAGCCATTTTTTAGAATTTCTAGTTTTAAATTTGAATGTAATACTAAAAACAGGAAATGAGCAGGTAGAGTTCTAATTCCTTTCAATAATACAATAGTGATGAAACATTAAAATAGTTTCAAAGTAGAAAATATTATCTTTTAGTCTTTCAGTTTCCAGAAAATGGTTTTACAAGGGCTTAGAATTGGATTATGAATCCATGCTTTTTATTTTATATTTTTATATTATTATTATTGAGACTGGATCTTGCTAAGTTGCCCAGGATGGCCTTGAATTTCATATCCTCTGAACCACTGTGCCAGGCAATTCCTTACTTCTTTATACTTGGATATTTTTTTTTTTTAAATACCAGAGATTGAACCCAGGGGTGCTCAAACACTGAGCCACATCCCCAGCCCTTTTTATTTTTTTATTTTGAGACAGGGTCTCAAAAAGTTGTTCAGGTCCTTGCTGAGTTGCTGAGGCTGACCTTGAATTTGCAGTTCTCCTGCCTCAGCTTCCTGAGCTGTTGGGATTATAAACATGCGCCTCCTGGGGACCTCTTTAGGGTCACTCTGGTGGTATCTCCCAGGAGTTTGTGATGAATATCTTCCTTCACATATTTGAGAGCTGTATTGTCCCAATTATTATTTTGGAATCAAGAGGAATAAGAAATAGAAACTTAGTTAATAGTCTTTGGTTACAAAGTCTTTGAAAACTGGTTACAAAGACAATGTGGAATATTTTGGGGGCAGTTACTTTTTAAATTCTGAGAGAACTGCTACTTTGGCAATTATATTTAAGTATGTAACTTAAGAGTTTTAAGAAAATGATTTGCATAATCATATACTGTAACTGGAAACAGACATGTGGAGTAGCAGAACG